GATGTGGTGGGAGTGGGTGATCTCTGCCTTGCCCGCACAAATAATTCAACAGTGATGCTCTCTCTCTTAAGGAGAACTACCAGTCCCACGGCTGCAGCTCTAGAATGAGGGTGCTTTGGGCATAACAGGCTCAGCCATCCTTCTGGCATCTCACCCTGTCTCCTTTCCCATCCTCGGGTTCACTTCTCTCCCTTTTTCTCTCCACTTCAGAAGTGGTTAGCTCCAATTAAACACCTGGAGTTGGGACAGCAGAAAAGCTGCTAAATGCAGATTTGCTTTATCTCACTAAAAAAAGAGGAACATTTTAGTCACTAATTTTCACTTCTTTTAGCCTTTCTTTCCACAGAATGGCCTGCCTTTTGCTGGAAGGGGACAAAGCCCTAAGATATTTATATCCATGAGTAGAACATTTATGATATCGCCTACACAGCTTCCTGGCCTGAGCTTTTCCTGACTTAGCTTATTTTTTAGTCAAAGTAGAGGGATGGATTTAAGGAACTGTCTAAGATAATAAAGAAGAGAGGACATTTGTCCTACCTAAAGGCAATGGCAGCTTGTAGGTGTGGCGGGGGGAATCTATAAAAAACATCGAAATAGGCTGGGCATGGTAGCTCACACCTGTTTCTCAGCACTTTGGGAGGCCGAGGCGGGCTGATCACCTGAGGTCAGGAGTTCAAAACTAGCTTGGCCAACCCGGTAAAACCCCGTCTCTACTACACAAAAATTAGCCAGGCATGGTGGTAGGTGCCTGTAATACCAGCTACTCGGGAGGCTGAAACAGGAGAATGGCGTGAACCCAGCAGGTGGAGGTTGCAGTGAGCTGAGATTGCGCCACCGCACTCTAGCCTGGGTGACAGAGCGAGACTCTGTCTCCAAAAAAAAAAAAAAAAAAAAAAAAATTGAAACAAACCCTTGAGACTTGACATTCTGCGCCTTCTCCATGTGAGGTCTTTGCTGAGCAAGAGCGGTGGTTAGCCGTGGCAGCTGTGAAGAATCAGAGCACGGCTGTGGGTGTGTTCCACTGGCATCTCCAAGGCTGTAGCTGGACTTCACAAAGGCTCGGTTCCCAGAGGAACAGCCTCTGACTGCCCTACTTCCCAGGGACATGGGAGGTGAAGGCCAAATCTTCTCTCCTCTTCTCTCCTACTTTCACCTCGAGCAGTGGGACCACTGGAGCTGTGGAAATGTCTGGGCCTCCAGTGTTTCTGCCAACAGGGTCACAAGAGCAAGGAAAATCCGGTCTCTGAATTCTCCCTTCACTTGTCTTTTACCTGGGTGATGATGAAGGGGCATGTTGGAAGTCTATTTGGCTACTTGTGTAAGTGTGTGTGTGTGTGCGCGCGCGCGCGCGCGCCCGCGCACATGTGAGACGCACATGCTCAGCAACATCCCAGCTCAGGCCTTCATATTCCTCAGTTGGAACTACAGAATTAAGTGCTTACCTCACCCATTGAAAGAGAGGCAATACTGCTCAGTGTCATGACTTAAAACAAGAGAAAAACCAACAAAATCCCAAACCAAACAAAAACCCCCTTGTTTTGTTGTAATGCTTTAAATGACCTCGTTTCTTCTCTGAAGCCACCTCATGAGGTTGGAAGGACAGGCATCATTGATGGATGGGAGGTTTTAGATGGGGAGAGGGAAGGAACCCACCTGTCCGTGGGCTTGCACGTCCGGCGTCAGTTTAGAAGGCTTGCATTTCATTTTTAGTTGACAAAAGAAACCAAACCAACCAACCAGCAAGCAACAACAAATGGCCTTTCACCCATACAGACAAACAAAATCTGACGTGCCTGGAGTTTATGGGGAAGTCATCCAAAGCAGATGGCGCCATCACAAACTTATCAATGCCATCAGAAAGGGATGGACACCTGCGGTGAAAGGAGATTTCTAGAGTCCCTCTAATTCCTGCTTCCATGTAGGAAGGTGTCCTCCTACACCCTGTCCCTGAAGCTCTAACAGAGGTCAACCAGGGCAGTAGGAGTTTCTTGATGGCCTGTAGAAAGGACAGCGGCTCACCCTGGGATTGGACTCTGTCTCCGTTCCCTTTCTTTTTCTTCCTTCTCACCTCCACCCAGTCTGATTTCAGTCCCAGTGAGGATGTCACCTGGGAAATACCTCATGTGTCCAAGGAGTCTTACCTTTTGCATGTTCTGCTCTGTGATCTCTGGTGGGAATCTGCAGTGCAGCAGAACTGGATTGGAACAAGGCAACAAGGACCAGGAGACTTCCGTCCAAATCTTGGCTTAGCTATTTTCACTTACTGAATGCCCTAGGGAGGCACTCAATCTTTTCAAGTCCCTCTTGGTGTATCTGTAAAATAACAAACCAAGGTGTTTGGTGTGGTGTTCTAACAGTGCTTGCTATAGTGCCTGGCACCCAGTAAGTCCTCAATATAAGGAAGAGATTAGTAGCATCCTCTGGATACAGTACAATTTTTCTAACCCTCAGTGGAATTCCAATGAGCTGCTACTTTTGATTATCATGCTAATCACAGATACTATGATTTTTAAACATCTTCTCTTTCAAAAATATATTTGCTTATGGCCTAGTATTACAGGGAAGCCTCTGGCATGCGACAGACCTGGGTTCACGTTCTGGCTTCACCGTTTATCTCCTTCTCTTCTCTGTTTCCTTATCTGAGAGCTGGGGCTAAGGACAGACAGTTCCTTCAGGTTGTGTTATACATATGAGAAATGTGTGAAAAGGGCTCAATGAGTGGTTGTCGTCGTTCTGTTTTATCGAGTACTTATTGTGTGCTCAGTGTTCTCACACCTGATTTCTTGTGTTGTCAACACAATAACCTTGAGAGGTAGGAATTACTATCATTCTCATTTTATGGGATAGGAAACTGAGGCTCCGGGAGCTCAAGTCTGAGGTCACATAGCTAGGAAGTGGTTGAAACTGCATTTAAATCTCAGTGTGGGAATCCTTCCACATCACTCTCCAACTGAACCCTACACATTTTTACCCCAGCCCTGGGGTTCCTACCCTCTCTTTAGCTTTCAGCATTTCCAGGATTCATTCTCCTCTGGGTGTGCCACCGTGTCCTCAGCCAGGATGCCCAGAGGTTTCCTGTCCTGGCCTCTGCCATCTCTATCTCTCTCTATGCTTGTCTTCCCCACCAGATTTTGGCATCCTTGAGGACTGTGGTTAGGCCAGTCCCTACTTCCCCAGCACTGGTGGCCAGTCTGGCCCACAGCAGACCTCTCCCCAGTGTGTGTAAGATTAGAAACTGACAATGCAAGGTGGTGCCCGGGAGTTTCAGGGTGCAGGGCCACCCCACACTGTTTGTCCATCTCCATCTCTGGGTGACCTGGCACAGATGGGCTACCTGAGATGTCCTGAAATGTCTGTGGACTGTGAACTCCACTTTCCTCTGAGTCATCAGCACTCCACATACACTGAGCTCATCTGCCTCTACTGGCGAGATGACAAAGGTCTGCTGGCATCATGACCCACATCCTGCCCCCATCCTGTGTACCCATCGTGGGGTATTAGTAAGCCCAGCAGCTCTGACCCACGCTGCTTTACCAGTCCTCTAAGCCTCTACCGCTGACCACAGCCACACGCAAGCTTCCAAACATGCCTCAAACATGTATTTGTCTGTTCATTCATTCATTCATTCATTCATTCATTCATTCATTCCCACACTAATCTAGGTCCTACAGATCCCTAGACAAATAAGGAACTTGGGCCCAGAGCGGTGGTTCACGCCTATGATCCCAGCTTTTAGAAAGGCAGAGGCGGGAGAATAGCTTGAGCCCAGGAGTTTGAGACCTGCCTGGGCAATGTAGCAAGACCCCGATCTCCACAAAAAGGAAAAAAAAAAAAGACAAAAAAAAAAAAAAAGTGTAACAAATAAGGAACTCAGAGTTAAGCGTGAGGGTTTCCCACACCTGGGTACGTCTCGGAGTCACCTAGGAAAGTTTTTACAAATACAGTTTCCTGGACCCTGCTGGAGACCTACAGAAGCGGAATCTCTAGGAGCATGTTTGTAGAAATCTGTATATTTAAGATACTCATAGCCCGACTCTGAACACAACTGGTTTGGGGAACCTGTAGTCAGGGGACTCGCTGAGTAGCAATACTTTGACGTGTATTTGCTGAGTAGCAAATACCTTGAGAAGGGCAAGAAGCAAGACAGAGGCTGCGAGTGGGGATTGCTGCCCTGCCACGGCCTTATCCTTTTCCTTTTGGGATCATGGCCTCTAAAAATCCTGCAGCATTTTCTTCTTCCCAGGAGTCCCCACATATAAAACTGCTACCAGATAGTCAGCTCCCTGACGACAGGGACACATTTGTTTCCATCCCTGTTATGTCCCCTGTGACCACAGCAGGGCCTGGTATCTAGCTGGTGCCAGGCAAAAATTTGTTGAATGAATGAATTCATTCCCTGATTCCCTGTAGGTGCGGCGTGCATACCATCTTGTCGTTTCTTGACACCCTGTGTGTGTCTGTGTCTACAGAGGTGGACAGGGAATGGCACGCTAGGAGGAGAGGTTACCTCGGCTTTGCATCCAGCAGGTCCCCTTGAGGCCCTGGACTGTGAGGAGAAATGGGGGTTGGAAGTGGGATCTACACCCTGTTCCTGCAGGGAGAAAGGGGAGCATCGGGACAGGAGTGTGCCCAGTCCCCTGGGGCGTGTGGGGTTTGCCAAAGACAGACCTTGGCCTGGATTGAGGGAGAGAGAGGCAGCCGGCACAGAGCAGTCATTCAGACAGCAGTTGACCTCCTGGCAGCTCCAGTGAGGCCCTGCGGACCTCGGTCCTCCCCAGCCGGCCCACTGAGGCCTCAGACAGAGGCCCATCCATCACGGGGGCCCCCAGGGAGGGCCGGGGGGGCTTTCTGTGAGTCAGTTAAGGGGCTCCGTTTTCAGCACAGATCTTGTCAAATTCAAGCTGTCAACCGCACAGACCCTGAAAGCCAGTCACAGACCCCTGGGGACAGGCGTGTGGCACACGACCTTGAGGGGGCTCTGCTGAGTGTGGGACTGTGGTGATAAGAGGGACAAATGAGAGGAAGCCACCTGGGCCAATTGCTTTGTGCTCACCCACACCGCCCCTTTGTGCTTGTCCTTGAGGGACGTTGGGGCAGCTGCACTGAATTTATTTCCTCCTTTCCCCCCTTGGTTGCCGCTCTCCCTTTCCGCCATCTCTTACAAGGCACGGGCAAGGAGGCAGTGCACGCAGATTAAGGACAGACTGGCTCTGCCGCTTAGAAGCTGTGTGTCCTTGGGCAAGTGACTTAACCTCTCTGAATCTTTTCCCTCAGGTTGTGATGAAGATTGCAAGAGGTGATACACTGCTAAGCACAGGCCGGCATGTTGTAACTGCTCCAGGATTATTCACTATTATCATTTTCATGGAGGTGAGGCACAAAGAGTTTTGACTCCTTGCTGGTGTTCCCTCATCTCCTTAGCATTTCAAGCTGCACACTTCAACTCTACGTGACCTCACAACATCCCAGTGTCCACTTAAAGGTGAATAAATGAGCCAGGCATGGTGGCTCACGCCTGTAATCCCAGCACTTTGGGAGGCCAAGGTGGGTGAATCACTCGAGGTCAGGAGTTCGAGACCAGCCTGGCCAACATGGCGAAACCCCATCTCCACTAAAAATACAAAAATTAGCTGGGTGTGGCAGTACATGCCTGTAGTCCCAGCTACTCAGGAGGCTGAGGCAGGAGAATCACTTGAACCTGGAAGGCGGAGGTTGCAGTGAGTCGGATGGGGCCACTGCACTCCAGCCTGGGTGACAGAGTGAGACCATCGGCTCTGGGGCAGTGGTTAACTCAGCTGGGGCTGTGGGGAGCTTACATCTGGTCTTTGGGTGAAGGTTGAAATCATGTTAGCTCAAAGGAGCCACTGGGGCAGGCCTGAGACATGAAGGCCGAAAGCAGATGGGAGCTCTGAGGAATGAGAATGCCAGGGAGGCCAGGGAAGCAGCAGCAAGACTGACAAAATAGGGAGCTGCCCAGGACCACTGCTGGGCGTGCCCTGATGTCTGTGAGGAGACTGTTTTGGACCTCCTGTGGGGGCCGGTTTAAAGGGCCCAAAATGTTTTAGAAGGCTCCTCTGAGGAAAGCCAGTGTTCTCTCACCTTGCACCTGTGTTGAGTCCTGGCTGCTGGGACTGGCCCCAAGCCTCCTCCTCCTCCTCAAGAGGAAACATTGCTGGTTGGAGAAGAGACCCAGGCAGAAACAGTAGGAACCTACTGCCCCCCCACCCCCAGCCGGGCCCCTGGCTGCCTCCTCACCTGCACTGATGGAGCACCTACTGGGTTAGGGGCTTACAAAGGTTGCGGGACAGGGCTATTGGCTTGGCTTCTCCTCTTCATGGGAGGATCCTTAGCCCGGGCCAAGGCAACGGGCTCACACAGCCTCTCAGGAGGACTGTGTCCAAAGGACAAAACCAAACTCCTCCCCCGAGATCAGGCAGGGCCAGGCTGTGAGCCAGAGGAGCTTTGAACTGTGGCAATGGCCATTGCCACCCAGAAGCAGCGCTGGTGGAGGGAGGGGGGAAGGGGAGGCCGAGGGAGGCCGGTGGTGGTCGGGCAGGCAGTGGGCAGACAGGGGTTATTGAAGGGCATGGCCTCCACGATTACTCAAAGGCAAACTGCAGTTCTTACTGGCCCTTTAAGAACGGCGCCTACCTTATGAAATGTCAGGGCAGAGTGGAAGCCCAGAGAGTGTTACCAGAAAAGAGTCACGCAATCTCTGGTCCATGCCTGTGAGTGACTGGGAGCTTGTTTGTGTGGGGGCTGTTCCCACAGCTGGAAGCCCTAAGTAACCCCAGCGCGCCGCAACTCACAGATGATGCTAAAGAGCCCCGGCTGCCTCGGCCTCGGACGCCATGTTCTCTTTCCCTCTTCCTGGGTGTCAAAGGGCTTACACTAGACGCATGTTTCCCCAAATGCGCTTTTGGGTACCACCAGCAAAACACAAACCAAATTTAGGTAGTGGATGGACAGGCTATGTTATATATTTATCTTAATGCTTATTAGAAAAAAATTTAATTGGCACATCAAACTTCTTATTTCATGGTTATTGGTACATGGGATAAGACTAAGTTTAGTTAGGTAAAAAAGAGAAGTCAAATTTAAAGAAAAAACAATCAGGTGAATATTAGTATGGTTAACACTGTTCACTAGAAATACAATGGGAGACAAAATGAGAGCCACATACATGATTTAAAATTTTCTATGGAATAAAAGTCACATGGAATAAAAAATAAGTAGGTAAAGTTATTTTCATAGCATATGTTTTATTTAACTTGGTATGTCAAAAATACCATTTCTACATGTAATCACTAGAAAAATTATTGAGATTTTATTGACGGATTTTTTTTTTTTTTTTTGAGAGGCAGAGTCTCACTCTATTGCCCAGGTTGTGTGGTGGTGCCATCTCGGCCCAATGCAACCTCTGCCTCCTGGGTTCAAGCGATTCTCCTGCCTCAGCCTCCTGAATAGCTGAGATCACAGGCACGTGCCACCATGCTCGGCTAATTTTTGTATTTGTAGTAGAGATGGGGTCTCACCGTGTTGGCCGGGCTGGTCTTGAACTCCTGAACTGCCTGCTTTGGCCTCCCAAAGTGCTAAGATTACAGGGTGAGCCACTGCCTCCGGCCCTAATTGACTTTTTTTTAGTAATAACTCATCAAAAGCTGGGGTGTGTTGTATGTCACATCTCGATATGACCCAGGCATATTTTAAGGGCTCATGGCCACATGTGGCTTGTGGCCACTGTGCTGTAAGTGTGGAGACCTAGGCAGGCAGGGCAACACTGTGAAGGCAGAATATAAATGTATGCAGCCCAGAGTCTTCCAGCTCTAACATCTGTGCTTCTGCCATATGCTCACTCTCTGCCTCACCTAGAATTGCTCCCTTACTCTCCAAATTGAGACCCAGTTTACTGCCTATACTCTCTACTTTCTTCACTTACCAAGCAACACGCTTCATCGGTTGTCCACCAGAAATTTTATTATGTGGAAAGTTCGTATTGAATGTGTCTGCCAAATCTTTTGCGAGAAATTAGTCAGAGAGAAGCTCCTTTTGAAAACCAGAGAGAAATGCCCCTTGGGTCATCCCTGCTGCTGCCTTACTCATCGGCCAGTGGCAACGTGCATGGGTGTGTTCACCAGTGACAGATCGCCTTTCTCTAATTCATCTGGCAGGTGCATTAAGGAGATGGGACAACTCTTCTTCAAGTTTCTTAGCATCATTTGTTATCAGTCTTTAATATTCATGAGGATCATCTGGGGAGCTTCTTAAAAATGCAAGGGTAATTATAAAATCATTGGATGGGGCGTATGATTATGATTCTGGGAGTGTGATTCTGATGTGAATGAACATTTGAGAACCACTGCCTGAAATGTTTTCCTAAAGTATGAAGGCTGGCGATGGCTTGTTGGAGAACTCCAAATTGGAATTTCATATTCAGATCTAATCATTTCAGATCTAATCACTAGAAGAGGAAGCACGGACTGGTTCCACCCCATGGTCATGACTGAACTAATCGGAAACTCTCTTGAATTTGCCACAATGAACTGAGCACCAATTAAAAATTGCCTTGGAAGAAATACCTACTAAATTCTAGCCAAGCTGGGCATCAGCTCCCTGGGCCCTTAGTGACTATTATTTCCAAAAAGTGTTCTCACTCTGATCCATTTGTTCTCCCTGCCGTTTTATCCCCTGTAATATTCTCTAGAGACCAATTACTATTATCTGAATGGAAGCATGAGTCATAAGTGGGAATGAGCTTGTCCTGGATCAGGTTTCCATGTGCGTGCTCAAGTGTGTGTCTGTGTGTGTGTGTGTGTGTGCATGTGTGTTACATCACAAGGCAAATCGCTGGCACCTAGAATCATTGAGAAACCCATCCTCCCATTACAGTCTAAGAATGAAGCCCTTGGGACTTAAGGATTCAAGATGGTTGGGTAAAGTGAACTCAACTCATGTTAAGGAGGAGAACAGGAGGAGGATTCTGAGACCCAAAGACAAGACCAGGACGCGAGAGAAAACAATGGGAACCTTAAAGTAAAGGGGGAGAGAATTTAGATTTATTAAAGACATACTCTGGACCAGGCATTTAAAATTTGTTACTTTTTAAAGCCCTGTAGACTAGATATGTTTTGTCCCATTTAACAGACTAAGATATTGAGGCCCAGAGTGGTAACTTGTCCGATATCAGCCAGAGGGAGGTAGGAGAGCTGGGGAAGGCTGATCCCAAAGCTGGTGTTTTTCTCTAAATGCCAAATACTCTCTCAAGATAGTGATTACTCAACCTATTTCTGGGTTCACCACTCCTTTTGTGAAAAAAGAATGCAAGATGAAGTACGCTGTGTCTTTGCTGAAGGCAGATCAGGTCACCATGTCCCTGGAGGAAACGGATGCATCGTTGCCAGCATCAGTTCCCACGGTGCACTTGAGAATGTGGTGCTCTAGTCGGGATCTTCAGCGTCATTAACCTGGTTTATGTACATTGTATCAGCCAGGGAACCACTGGAGGTAGACGACACACTGAAAGGGATAATAATGGAGGAGAGGTTTAATGAAAAGACAATCTACAGAGGTGTGGGGAGGGTTTGGGAACCAAAAAGGACGGAGAAACCTGCAAGAGAAGCTATTATCACCCCAGATCTGAAGGGGCAAGTAGAAGGAGTGCTTTCTCAAAACTCAGGGAGAAGTGTAGCCCTGGGAGAGGGGCCACTCTCTAGGAGTGGAGCTGTGGCTGTGGGCACAGTGGAGCTGTAGCTGGGGAGCTGTGGGCACAGGGAGAGGCAGGCAGCCACTGCCAACACAGCCAGGGGAGCAGAGAAGTCAGTACCCCACCTCCTCCTTTCACCCTCTGATCTCGTGCCTCAGCAAGTGGGGAACAACCAGCACACACCCCAAACCTGTGGAACAGTGCCCGTACTTGGTAAGGACTAAGTGGTGTCCATTGTTCCCATCAATGGTAGCTAACTGCCTGGTGCCTATCCAAGGCCATTTCTCCAGAAAATGAACAGAGAGCCATCTCCTCTCTGCTGAAAACCGGAAGCAAATTGGTCTGGAGAAATGGAATTTGCTGCTTAAGCCTAGTGTGGGTCCTCACCCACCTAATTGAATATGACATTATTCAGGTTATAAGGGAAACTCTTGTTTGATTTACTCCTTTTGTTTGTTTGTTTGTTTTGTTTTTGAGACAGAGTCTCGCTCTGTCACTTGGGCTGGAATGCAATGGCGCGATCTCGGCTCACTGCAACCTCTGCCTCCTGGGTTCAAACAATTCTCCCTGCCTCAGCATCCGGAGTAGCTGGGATTACAGGTGCCCACCACCATGCCCAGCTAATTTTTGTATTTTTTAGTAGAGATGGGGTTTCACCATGTTGGCCAGGCTGGTCTTGAACTCCTGACCTCAGGTTATCCACCCACCTTGGCCTCCCAAAGAGCTGGGATTACAGGCATGCCCGGCCTGATTGACTCTTGAATTAAATGACTCTGAATTAGACTATGTTTCTCCTAAGAAATGTGGAGACCGTGGATCAGGAGATTTATGAGCTATTTGATCAAGAGATCAAGAGAAGATTTGTGCCGTTTGCTGTGTGTGCCTTGTGACCAAGGGATGCAGCTGATTCAAATGGGAAGCACAGTGGGATGGGAAATAAGCCACCGTGCTAGACACTGGGCACCACCAGCGCCTTCCAAATCCTGATCTATCCTTTCTCTTCCCCACCCTGCTCTGCGGCCAGTGGGGCCTGACACCTAAGCACTGCATCACTCAGCCATCCTTGCCAGCTGGCTTCCAGTTGGGTTTAACAAATGGGGAACCCAGCAGGAGATCTGAGGGTGGGAGGGAAGAGACATTGGCATATTTCTCTGCCCCGGGTCTCTGATATTAGCTGCGCCCCTCCGTTACCTCAGTTCCCACTGGCAGCCATCCTTCAGGACTCCAGCTTCAACTGGGCTCCAGTAACACTATTTCCTTCCGGTGTCCCTTCGGCCTTGGTGTGGCTGTTGCTTCTCATTGGTGGTCCCCGGGTGCCTCACCTTTCTTGTTCTGTTCCCTCAACCTGGCCCACAACTCTACGAGGGGTCCACTCATTAAAGGCTCTTCATTTGAACCATCTGTGATGCTTTGTGAGCTGCACCCTTCTGACCCTGACCTACTTGTAGCCTCTTCTAATCAACTATAGCAGATGCTCAACTGAGAATCTTGAATGAAATGGCTCTGTGGCATTTGGATATCCCAGAGGACATGACTGATGTTCTTATATAAACATGATGTTATTGTGTGTGTTGGGGGGTGGGGTGGGCAAATGTATGAATAAACTGGCTCTAAAACTTATTTTAAAGATAAAGTATTCAATGATAGATTCCAATGCCAAGAGGAATTAGAAATGACCAATACTGTCATGCATGACCTTGTTATTCAAGAGTCATCAGAAAGGTAGTATATCTTTGTCACATTTTATCTTAAAATGGTCAGAATAGTGAGAATTGACCCTCACACAGCTTGGGTTTGCAGAATAGTTCTAGACACTTGTTTATGTTTCTAGAGTTTTATTAAATACGGTCTATTCTGAACTGAGGGATGCATCCTATTTTATACTCGCATGGTATCAAATCAGGGAAAGGAGATCTCAGGGTCTTGGTTTCTTAGCCCCTTTATGCTTGTCTCTCTAGACACTCCCTTGACTATTGTCCTTAGAAAAGGGAGCCAAAGGGAAAGTTGACTTTGAAACTGTGGACCCATTGAGGTTAGAGTGGTTTCCTGTCCCCATTAAGAAGACCATATCTGTCACACGCGTTGATAGATGCCTCTGCTTCTCAGGGTTTTGCCTGGTAAAAGGACATAGAGATATATGGGATTCCCACATCCTCTGGGGTCCCCCAAGGAAATAAGTTATTTCCAGAAAGCTCCAATATCTTTAATATGGAAGGCATATTTTAGCACACATGCCTTGAAGTCAGTCGGTCAATTTAGCGTTGTTTAACTTCCCTGAGAAGCAGTGCTATGGGAAGGACTTAAATGTTTCCAAAACATGTTTTGAAAAGAAGCCACCAGAAGGAGAAACAGTTTGCCAAAAATAAATCATTTACCCACTGCAGTGCTTTGGTTGTTGTTAGATCTTAAGAAATGAAAACCCCAAACTCTCAGACCAAAGCGTGGCCCATATTTGCTGGTCTGTTGACCTGAGGGGCTTTGTTTGGTAGAACCTATGAAGAGTTACTTAGGGCACTCGGGTTCCACAGTGGAGAGTGATGGCGTGCCGGGGAATGACAGTGGCAGGCTGGGCTTCCGGGACCTTGGCACTTGTTATTCTCCCTTCCTTTCTGCTCAGCTGCCCCAACCTCAATCTTGTTCTCTCCAGCTGCCAGCTGCAAACAACTGCCTTTGTTATTTAGGAAATAACTTGGACCATTTCCCGTTGACTCCAGTGTGTTTTGCTCTTGTCTACCTCTGCGATTTCAGGGTTCTGGCTCTATCCAAGCTGCTGTTATCCCTGGTCTTGGTCACTTCTCTTTGGCAATTCCTTGGTCTGTGCTTTTGGAAGTCAATCTTCTGTTCTGACTTTAATCTGTGCTTGACCCCGAGGCGCAAAATCCTTGCTCCAGCCCTGGGTCTCTGGAACCTCACTATCTGGGCTCATTCCCACCCCCATGCATCCTTCTGCCTCCACTGAGTGTATGTGTGTGGGCTGGGGAGGGATTAGACTCTTTTTTTGGCTCAAAACTATAACTGCTTCCCCATGATAAGGGAAATGCAAATTGAAACAATGAAATGCCATTCACATCTACCAGATTAGTAAAAATTAATTAAGTGTGATGACAAAAGGGATGGTGAGATGTGGCCGTAAGGGAACTCCCTGGTGGGAGTGTAAATTGGTACAGTCACTTTGGAGAACCATTTGGCAATATCTATTGAAGTCAAAGATGCATTTCTGCTATGAAATAGCAATTCTGCTCCTGAATAAACAGCCTGGAGAAACCGTCATACAGGTATACAGATTTGTGTTTGTATGTATACATATAGATACACATATATACACACATGTATATGTGTGCACACAACATATGTACACACATGAAAGAGTGCTGACTACATAGCCCACAAGCTGTGGTTTATGGAATGTGGTAATGGAATTGAATACTACACTATGTAGCAGTTAATAGAAATGTACTAGATCCAATTTCTATCAACATGTATAAACTTTAAAACAATGCTGAATGAAAAATTTGGTTGTAAAAGGACAGGTATGTGCTACACATAAGTATATACATAGATAGATGCAATTCATCTTAAAATGTAAACAATATAATTGTATTAATACATTTATATTTATTAAAAAATAAAAACACACATGGGAATGATACAAGCCAACTTCAGGTTAATAGTTACCTTTGGAGAAGAAGGGAAAGGATGAAGAAATAGAGCTTCAGTTGAATCTGGACACTTTTCTTTGAAGGCGGGGGTGGAGAGAAAGAGAGAGACAGAGAGAGATCAATCTAAGACCAATATGGCAAAACGTGTTTCAATTTTGGTGATGGGCTTGACAGATCTAGTATATTATTTTCTCTACATGTCAGTATGATTGAAATGTTTCATATTTACAAGTTTGAAACAGTAAGAAAATGATTTCTTACTCCTGTTGTTGTCTTGGTGAATTGACGCTAACTTGAAGATTCATAGACGTGTACTTTCTGGTAGGGACAGCGTCTTTGAGAACAACTGGTCAAACTTCATCTGGTTTCAGAATCTCTTCTATGGCCTTGTGCAAACACCTGCCCTGATGTGGATCTCTAACCACTGAGACTGTCCCCCAATGGTACTCTTGGGAAGTTATTGCTTACTTTGAGCTGAAATCAGCCTCTTGCTGGCTTCAGACCACTGGTCCCAGTTCTGTTCTGCCATCCTTCAGATTCCCACCATCTTGGAGCTGCTGGGAGCCAGCGGGGGGCCCTGGGTCATCCTTGCAAGGGAACTAGGGAAGAAAGAGGAAGTTGAGGGGCTGGAGCCAACCCTAAGGCGTTCCTCTTTGGGAAGGCTGGCTGGTGATGGGACTTGCCAGGACCAGCATGCTGAGAGGAGGAAGCCAGCTCTCAGGTCAAAATTCCGTTGATGTGGGACAAACTGTAACCCTGCGCTGTTGCTTTCCCAGGCCTCACTTCCCCAAACAGGGGCACGTGAACAGCTGCAGTGGCCTGGTGGCAGCATGCTGGGATCCTTCAGGCCAGGCCAGCAAAAGGGCGAAATCTGGGCCCGTGGGGACCTTCATGGGGACTCTCCAGGCTGCCTTCCTCTTCCAGGTCTTCTGTGAAATTAGCTGGAAAAGGAGATCACATGCCTGATTCCCCTTTGTCTCGGCAAGCCTGGAAAACAAAGTCCAGCCCTAATCAAAAGCTTCCTCTGATTCTCTTGTGTCTTGTTAAAATGCAGTCAAACTCGAGGCCTTGCTACCAGGTAGAAAAAAAAATTATAGGAAAAAATAAGAATCCATTACTCCACATTGTAAATAAAACAATGACTCCTTTAATTTCCAGAACCGTCATCTCTGTACTTTTGGTGAGCTGGGTTTTTTTTTTTTTTTTCCCAAGCTGCTCTTCTTTTAGGAGAAAATGGGAAAAGATTTGACATCCCCTCCACCTCCCTCTCCCCACCCCAAAATCATCTACCAGGTAAGGTCTGGAGTTAGTTCAATTTTAGTCTAATCTTTCTGTCTCTCTTTTTTTTTCTTTCAGACAGGGTCTCGCTCTGTCACACAGGCTGGAGCATAGTAGCATGACCATAGCTCTATGTAACCTTGAACTCCTGGACTCAAGTAGTCCTCCCACCTCAGCTTGCTGAGTATCTGGGGCCACAGACATGCACCACCATGCTCAGCTAATTTTAAATTTTTTTTGTAGAGACAGGGTGTCATCACGTTGCTCGGGCTGGTCTCAAACTCCTGACCTCGAGAGATCCTCCTGCCTTGGCTTCCCAAAAGTGCTGAGATTACAGACATGAGCTGCTGTGCCTGGCCTCTTTTATCTTAAATATTTTGGAATGAGAAGCTTCGAGATCTCAGTGTGAACTTCATGAGGTAGGGAGATGGAGTGATATTGCGGTGACTGTAAGCTTGACTGCTTGATGGTCCTTGTCTTGCCTGTTCTCTGGTTATGGGTTCAGTTTTGTAGATCAGTGATTCTCAAACTTTGCTGCATACAAGGTCCCCTGGGAGCTTTATACAATGGGGGAAAAGTCCCAAGTGCACCTTAAACCAATTGAGCCAGAATCTTCAGGAGTGTATCCTTGGCACCTGCACTTTTTAAAACTCCCCAGGTGATTCTAAACAAGCCAAGTTTGAGAACCAGTGCTATGCTTTGAAACATCAGGGAGGTGTTCTTAGGGCCTTGTGAAAAAGCAAACACCAAAGGTTTCATTATGTTAATATAACTTAAGAACTTAAAAAACTCAAGGGCTTGCTATTGGCCAAACACTGTGCCAAATGTTTTCTGTGGATTGTCTAATTAAAACAACATGCTGAGGTAGGTTATTTATGTCATAGAAGAGGACACCGACCTTCAAATAAGGAACTTGCTCAAGGTGATGCAGCAGAAATGTGATTTGATGGGGCCCTCACTTCGGAGGCTGCATTTAACATTGATGATATTTACTAGGGTGGAAAATTACTTCTTCTTTTTGACACACACACACACACACGTATACGCACACACACAACTTAGGAATGTTTGTAATAACGTATTTCTAAAAAAGATCTTGCCCACCCATTTGGATGAGATCAGGTTTTCTTAGTTCTTCCACTTACGAGCTGGATAACTTTGAGCAAGTCACTTCCCCTTTCTGGGCTTCAGTTTCCTCATCTGAAAAATAAGGAAACCAAACCAAGGGTTTGTTAAAAGGCCTGTCACTCTAGATATGATCCAAAGGATAAATATTATCATGGCAGCCCTAGTATATCTGACTCTGGAGTCTCAGCAGCCTGACCCGTTGTCATTGACCCATTTATTCCTGCCCGAGTAGCATATTTGTAGGACTGACTTCCTCAAGCCTGTGGTTAGCGACGTAACAGGGAGCCAATCTCCATTACATGAGGGGCAAATCACTCAAGTAGCAACAGATGGTCCAGGAATGATTGGAAAAGGCAGACTTTATTTTGTAATGAAAACTTTGTAGATGGATTTTTAATTTCATATGGATGAAAGTGGAAATTCACAAAATACATCCAAGGAAATTCAACCTTGTGGCAGGTTTTTGGATCCAGACTGGCCATGTGGGGCCTGTCATTGCCGCAGCGTGGAGGGGCGTGCAGCCGGGTGGAGCTCGTGGGTGAGGTCAGCTGTCTGTCAGAGGCTGGCTCTCACCCTCACGCATCCCAAGACCTGACTCAGGAGATCTGCCTTGAGGTAAACATGATCCTAGCTGATTGACAATCCTGCTAACTTACAGTGAGGGATCTGCCTTCTTTTGGAAAGAAAGGTTTACATCTGCTGTCAGGGAAGAAGCCTCTCCCCCAGCGCAAGGACGGTGGATTGGAAGTGGAAAGGTGGCCAGGTGAGCACAGGGTCGGGACAAAGGCAAGAGAACAACCCTGGAGTTCCTCAGACTGTGTTGTGGATATTGACTGTCCGGTGACTTTTCCCATTGGGCACCCCAGTTTCCTTTTAGGGATCTTTCTCTCTACCATCATGTTCAGGCTCTGGGATTGGTTGGTCTAATATATAACCTCCTCTGTTAAAGGTAGAAGGCTCCTCCTAACAGAGCTTTCCTCTGAGAGACAGGCACGTGACCTCAGCTCGATCCATCATACTCTCTCCCAGGACTTTGTGTCTGGAATGCCGGGAGTATGGTTGGAGTTTATTTATGCTGGGGAGAGCACCCAGGTGAGGCTGAGCAATAGCTTCTGTGGCCAAGACCTTCAGGTTTTCATCTGTTCTGAACCTGGTTTCCAGCCCCTGTATTGATCCTCTGTGCTTTTCCATACTACTCCATTCAACAGGACATCCCCCTACCCCTTATTCCCAACTGTTTTCTTGAAATAGTCCAGAGTCAGTTGCTGAGTTTGCAGCCATAAGCCTTGGCAGATGCAGGTCTCGGTTAGGCCCTCACAGAAGGTACACTCCTCTACTGCTGTGGCTTCTGTCCACCTAGTTGTCTCTCTTTCCCCTGGAAGTCATGGGTAAACACAGCCAGCCTCTGATCCTGTGTTTTCCCTTTTTCTGTGTGCTCACTCTCTTTCTGTTTCTACAGAATTTCTCCAGGCAGTATACAAAACAGCTGATTCATTCTCCATTGGTTAAATCCAATTTCATTTCAATCCTGTCACCTTGAAAGGAATCTCAGGTGTTCCCAAAATCTTTGGGCACACACTCACAGAAACTCTTTTAGGCTATGGTTTTCTTTCATTTAGCATAATAGCTAACTTCAGCCATTGTGAATGAATTTTGCCAACCTAAATCTTCGAGAGCAACTGCATTTCCAAGTTCTTGGAAGTCACCTCACTTCTATTCCTCATGTACCACTTAGATGTTTAAATCAATCTTGAAATGATGAATAGTCCTTTGAAAATTCTGTCTTCTATGCTTCCCAATGGTGGGTAGCCTCCTTTGCTCAAGCTTGCGTTTTTAACTGTTTATTATACTCTATCTCCAGAATGACAAGGTGCTCTAGGGAATGCGAAAACATAAGAGGCAGTTTTCTTGCCTTTAAGGGTTGTAAATCTACTGGAGAGTTGAGATTTGTTCACATAAAATAATTATAGAAAAACCTATGTCTTTGCCTTCGAGACGCTCAATGGCTCATGGCAATGGTTTTCAAATGTCCTAGTTGTGTGACACCTTCAAGGGGATATCTAGGGGGTGGGGAGGTGAGGAGGGAACCCATCTGCTGTTCTTCTGCAGAATTTCCTTGAAACAGAGCTCCAGGACTAATAAGGGTTTGAGGACCACAGGATCCAATCTTTTGCTGGTGTACAGCTCTTTCCTGACCTTCCCATTGACTACAGATCCAGACCCATGTCCTGCTGCCTGAAGCTCCGGAGGCCTCCTGGCTATACTGGGGCCTCCACACTGCCCTGCCCTTCTCCATGCAGCTCTCTCTGCTTTGTGTGCATCCCATACTAACCACACCAAACCATGACTCTAAACTCCTTGAAGGCACATGTTGATTGGATTAAGGGCTGAATTTTGCAGTGCCATCTGTAACAGTTATCAGAACTTAGAGATGAGGAAGATAATTGCTGACTGGGGTGGTCTGGAAAGACTTCCTAAAAAAAGTCAGACTGTATTAGGCCTTTGGGAAATGTGGCATTCAGATTCATAGAAAGGAAGAAGGAAAGTGTCTCAGGCATGGAAAGCATTGCTGAGCAAAGGCTCAGAGCAGGGTTTATGAGTGTCCCATAGAGCGGTAAAGAGAACCAGGAAATAATTGACAAGGGAGCTTTTAAAATATACCCTTGCCTTGACCCGCTGCAGACCAAATAAAAGAATCTCTGGAATGAGCCTGGGCCTCAGCATTTTTAGAGCTTCCCTGATGAGTCTAATGTAGTGAGGGCTGAGGACAGTCTTCGGACTGTCAAGGTGTAAGGGGTCTAAGGAAAGGCTGGCTTTGAGGAATGGAGGCTCCTGATGAACTTCATGCATTTTTGGAGGTTTCTGACTTGAACCAATGCATATTGGGGTGCTTTCACCACACAGTGTTTTTCATGTTTGCAAACTAGATTTTTTGACAGGTTAATCTGGTTCAGATTCAAGTTGTGGGAAGGGGTGGGAAGCTTGGAAATCGAACCAGCAGGATGGCACAGAAGTCCAAGAGACAAACCTGCTCTCAGATAGTATGGCAGAAAAGGGAAGATAAATCCAAGAGATACTGAACAGGAAGAATTAATAGAATTTGGTAGGATGAAAAATGAGGAGATATTTTCTAATTAGGTACAGCAGCAATGACAGAAATTTCTCTTTATACAAACAGTCCCAAAGTCATGCAGGTGAAGAAGTTGGGAATGGTACTCAACCTCTACATTGCTTTCTCTCCTGGATATTAAGAGCTTATTCCTTCTTTAGATCTTCCTATCTCCTAAACTATCATTGCATTTGATTTCCTTTTATTCCTTCCTGGGGAAACTTTCTGAATGGGGATTCTACGCTGATGTCCTTACTGCCTCACTGCCCACATTCTCTCTAACCTACATCTCTGTCACCTACCCTCCATCTATTTTGATGGTTTCCAGTGGCCTCCCAATTTCCAAAATCCAGTGACTCTTTTCTGGGCCTCCTTCTCTTCCACCCTTTGGCTGCATTTGACTCTTTTGTGCTTGACACTGTTGGCTTTGGGGCTACTAAATACTCCTGGCTCTCCTTCTGACTTGTTTTTCCTTCCACTTGTCCTGAGTTCACCCAACATCCATCCTTAGGCCTTTTAAAATTTTGACTCTCTTGGCAACTAACGTTTCCCCAGGTTTTTTATTTTCAGCAGGGAGCTGGGTATTCTCCACTTGGTTGTCACATCTCTGCCTCACGCTCACTGACATTACAATCATAGCTGTTTGCAAAGTCTTGTATTGCTAGAAAGTGCTTTACCTACAGTGTTTCACTTGAGTTTCACCTTCTTTCCCAGCCCTGCTTCTTTCCTTCTGCTCTTCCCTGAATTTGAATCTTGGCTCTGTTGATTACTAACTGAAGCCTCAATTCCCCAGTCTTTAAAATGGAGTGGCTGGGCGCGGTGGCTCATGCCTATAATCCCAGCACTTTGGGAGGCCAAGGCAGGCGGGTCACGAGGTCAGGAGATTGAGACCATCCTGGCTAACATGGTGAAACCCCGTCTCTACTAAAAATACAAAAATTAGCTGGGTGTGGTGGCAGGCGCCTGTACTCCCAGCTACTCGGGAGACTGAGGCAGGAGAATGGCGTGAACCTGGAAGGTGGAGTTTGCAGTGAGCCGAGATTGGGCCACTGCACTCCAGCCTGGGTAACAGAGCGAGACTCCCTTTCAAAAAAATAAAATAAAATAAAATAAAATAAAATAAAATAGGGGTAATAATACCCGTATCACAGGAGTGTTGTGTTAAACAAGAAAATCTGTGTGAGAATGTCACCGTCTGCTTGCTGTGTGACTCACTGTCACAATTTCTACTCACTGTCTGTCACACCCTTCTCCTTCCTTAAAGGCAGGAGCTGTTTTTTTAAAATTTATTTTTTAATTATACTTTAAGTTCTGGGATATATGTGCAGAATGTGCAAGTTTGTTACATAGGTATACACTTGCCATGGTAGTTTGCTGCACCCATCAATCCATCATCTACATTAGGTATTTCTCTTTGTTTTTTTTTTTTTTTTGAGACAGAGTCTCACTCTGTCGCCAGGCTGAAAGTGCAGTGGCTTTCAATCTTTTCAGCCACTGAAAAGGTTGGCTCACTGCAACCTCTGCCTCCTGGGTTCAAGCGATTCTCCTGCCTCAGCCTCCCAAGTAGCTGGGACTACAGGTATGTGCCACCACGCCTGGCTAATTTTTGTATTTTTAGAAGAGACAGGGTTTCACCATGTTGGCCAGGATGGTCTTGATCTCTTGACCTTGTGATCTGCTTGCCTCATATTCCCAAAGTGCTGGGATTACAGGCATGAGCCACTGTGCTTGGGCAGGTATTTCTCTTAATGCTATCCCTCCCCTAGCTCCCCATCCCCCAACAGGCCCCAGTGTGTGATGTTTCCTCCCTGTGTCCATGTGTTCTCATTGTTCAACTCCCACTTATGAGTGAGAACATGCAGTGTTTGGTTTTCTGTTCCTGTGTTAGTTTGCTGAGAATGATGGTTTCCAGTTTCATCCAGGTCCCTGCAAAGGACATGAACTCATCCTTTTTTATGGTTGC